AGTATGACAAACTCTTCGGTACTACAGAAGGGTTCCTGGTCAGACCTGATCACCTCAGCAGTGATCTACAACCTTTTAGGTGGGTCAATATTTACTAGGTTATTAGTGGTTACATTAATGGTCACAGGGTTCTGTATATTATATTGTATTACAGGTTACGGGGTGCTCTGCATTTGAGCAGCAATTGCTTCATTCCTCGTACACTGATTATTTAGGTTAGTGGTTTTTATCATTTATATTCTGGTCCACGACCTGGCCCTAACGATCCAATTCCAACCTAATAGGTTCACATTTTTCTGTCATTGGGTAGTAGGTCTCACCTAGTTCAACGACCTCTTACACTTTAGTGCAGATTCAACATAGGCCAGGTCATAGACTGGTAGGTATCTCATTTTATTTTACTCTAGTACAGGGGTAGGCAACCTACGGCACTAGTGCCATGCACGGCACTCAAGGCTGCTAGAGCCAAACAGGCTCTGGCCTATCAGGAGTCCCAGTAAAACTTCAGATATCTGCTAATCCGAAAAGATGGTGAAGGACAATCCTCAATTTATGCATTGCAGCACATAGAGGAACTGATCTCAGATCACTTCCTCCCAGCACTTGTGAATAGGAATCCACACTGTAGTAGAGCAGCTCGCAGTTGCTGTTGCAGCTCCTGTCCTTGACATGCACCTGGCCAGCCTGGTCCCCACTGGAACCCAAATGAAACACCACTTACAATCCACATACATGCACACAACCCCACATGAAATACCCCAAACAGCCCCCACACACTACCAAACACACACTGTGACATATCCATCCACACACACACACACACACAATTCCTCAAGCAGCCCCCATACACAGCCCCCATTCATATGTATCATACCATAAACTACTCATCAACATATACAATATATGCTCATATAGGCAGGGCCATCTTTAACGCGGGGCAAACTGGCCAGCTGCACCGTGAGCCCTGCTGGCCTCAACTATTTCTAAACCTCTGGCCGGTAATCCGCACACTAAGGAAGCCCACCAGGTGGCCCATGCACAAAAGACCACCCGGTGGGCTTCTGTCAGCAGGGGCCCGGTCGCACGCTGAGGCACTTTAACAGCGCAAGCGGGCCCCTTGCTTTTCGGCAGCAGGCTGGGAGGAAGTGATAGCCGCGCATCACTTCCTCCCACAAAGAGAGGAGTAGAGTAGGCAGATTGGAGGGGGGCTGGCCGAGAGTGCTAGACCTCAACTCCCAACACCTTCAGCCACCAGCAGGAAAGGTAGGAAACTGGAGGGTGGGTTTAAAAAGTGTATGTCTGTGTCAGTATGTCTGTCAGTGTGTGTGTGTTAGTATGTTTGTATGTCAGCATGTCTGTGCGTGTGCGCATTTCAGTGTGTATATATATCTGTGTGTGTGCGCATTTCAGTGTGTATATATGCATACATCTCAGCATTCACACACTAACACTACACACAAATACACCCTTGCATTCAAATTTCAACACTATGTACAAACACGTCTGTGTTACACACCAAAATTATATGTAAATACACCCCTGCATTCAAAAACCAACACTACACAAATACATGCTTGCAATCACGCCAACACCACATACAAACATATTCCATACAAAAACCTGTTTACATTCAAACACACAAACTGCTTAGTGTTAAATACAGACCTGCAAACATGGGTAAATGGTAGAGCCCCAGCTGTCAATGCATTTCCGGAGTTGCACGACAGATGGGGATCTACCTTTAATCACCCGTGCAACAGGGAGACCCCCAAAAATTCTTGCACCTCTCTACTTTAGGTCCGCCACTGCGTTGAGGTGGAGGATGTGATTGCATGCCTGGGGAGGGGGGGACAGGGTCCAGTCACTATTAAAGACTGCCCTGCATATACGCACAAATACAACGATACAAAGCAATTACAGTAAAAATAACAAAAGCAGAATATGGCAGCATACACCCCTCGATTAAAAAATAAATCCTATTTCGGCACAGTGCTGCTAAGTTTGCCTACCCCATCTCTAGTAGAAGTTCTGCATTATGTTACTACATCGACTACTATTACTCTCATAGGTATTACCCGTGCTCTCTACCTGTGACTCACTTCATACTTTACTATACGCTACAGGTATGTCAGTTTTGATATTATAATTCCAACCTCAGCCCCCCTATACTACACGTTATAGCCTTAGGAGACTGAGTTCTGGAGTCCTCTAGTTAATATTTTCTCAGGCCTTTATGCCATAGCATAATGGTTCCATAAGGCCAACACCCATCCTCACACTCCGAGGTATTTTGCCCATCGGCCCAACTCATAGTTATTTGCCTCGCATGAGAGCATATAGAGGGCCTCATCTGTCACTCCCATTCGATTTTATGCTATACAAGTCACCAAGAGGCTGACACCCCGCCACAGTGTTCGGTGGCCACAAAATCCCCTCATGCCAACGCATAGATAGAGCCTCTCAAGACGCTTAGCAATTAGCAGGACCTCACCTGTCACCAAATTTTAGGTAATTTTATTTCGCCACTTGGCATTAGTCAGCCAGTACAGTGTGGGATCTGCTTTATAAGTTATTGTTCATTAAATTTCTATTATGTCTCAACTACCAGAAGGTGTCAATAACTATTCTATCCCCAGCAAGGTCAATCACTCCATCACGCGGAGTTGACAACGCTAGCCCTACTTTGCTCAGGTCTTGGACCATTCCAAGGATAATGGCTGAACTGGGGAGACATAACATAATCTACACTGCCAGAAAAGGGCTGTATAAACTCTTCTATACAACAACAGATAATGGGGCAGGGGGAGGGTCCAGTGGTGGCCAGACATTCGATATGCATGCCGTATTATCATCAGTATTGTCCTCATTGGGACAGATCAACAATAGTCTGGAGCCGACCTAATCCAGTTTGTGGACCAATCACTCCCGAACCAATAAATCTCCCTAGCAGGCAAACGGGTAATTCCCCAATCGGTCTGAAAACCCCTAACACCATAAACCCAGCTCATATGGTATTAGCCAACCTTAAAGGACACTATAGTCCCCCAGACCAGTTCAGCTCAATGAAGTGGTCTGGGTGACAGGTCCCTCAGGTTTTAACCCTGCAGATGCATACATAGTTTCAGAGAAACTGCTATGTTTACATTGCAGGGTTAATCCAGCCTCGAGTGGCTGTCTTCTGGACAGCCACTAGAGGCGCATCTGCAACGCTGGAGGCATTTAATGCCTCCATCACGAGGGAGGCCGGCGCTGGAAAAAGCTTAGCTGCTGAAGGGTTTTTAACCCCATCAGCGCCACAGGAGGGAGAGCCTGAGGGCGGGGGCACCCTGAGGGAACTATAGTGTCGGGAAAACCGCTTAGTTTTCCTAACACTATAGTGATCCTTTAACCCCTTTTATTCCAGAAGTTTGGTCCTTAAGGGGTTAAGAAAGCTATCTTGGAAGGCAAAGATGTCAACCTGGTCTTGCTCCTGATTGCCTTCCAAGATATATTGAAAGAGGAGACCTATTCCTATGGTGATGTGTCGGTGGTCTTAAAATCTAGGGATCCCAGGTTAAATAGGAAATTGCCTATATCTGCTCAGTATACCCCAGTCATAGGGAGGAGTTTGACCTGTACCTACACAAGCTGGTGACACCAATATGGAGGTACAGACTTTTATGATTATCACAGATAATTTTCCACAAAGGCATCTGCAGCTCTGTCCCAGTTTAAAGGATCACCATAGTTTCAGGAAAACAAAGCGGTTTTCCAGACACTATAGTGCCCTGAGGGTGCCCCCACTCTCAGGGTCCCCCTCCCATGGCGGTGAAGAGGTTAAAACCCCTTCAGTTAGTTACCTTATTCCAGCGCTGGGCTCCCTCTCCTCCCCAGCTGACGTCAGCGGAGCCGAATGAGCATGCGAGGCAAGTGCCGCACGCACATTCAAAGTGTCCATAGGAAAGCATTTCTTAATGCTTTCCTATGGATGCTCTGCGCGATGGAGGCATAATATGCGCCTCTAGTTGCTGTCCGGAAGACCGCCACTAGAGGCTGGCTTAGCCCCAAATGCAAACATAGCAGTTTCTCTGAAACTGCTATGTTTGCATCTGAAGGGTTAAAACCTGAGGGGCCTGGCACCCAGACCACTTCATTGAGCTGAAGTGGTCTGGGTGACTATAGTGTCCCTTTAACATTCAGTCTGACTGGAGTCAGTTGGATACGGAGTTCTTCTGTAGACACTTTGCGGGCCTCCAGCGCTAGTGACAAAGACCAGTTGAAAATGTGGAGTGCCCTATCGTAGGATTTTTTTTTTTTTTTTTGTGTTATCAGAAAGAGCCAACTCTGAGAACTGGCGGCCGTCTAATCCACTGTCATTTCTTGCCACAATGGTGCAAGGGTAGTTACACTGGATGCCGTCAGTAAAGCTCTGGAATTACTGAAATTGAGAGCGAGAGATCAGCAGCAATGTTATGAATGCCTGGGATATGAACACAAATCAAAAAAAAAAAAGAAAAAAGAAAAATAATTATTAGCCGCTAGCCAAGTCAGTTTCCTCAGGAAGTGCATTATAGTCAGACGCTGATCGTCCTTTATTTATTATGAGGCACGTAACCAAGTTATCAAAGAAATATCTAATAGTTTGGCTGACCAGAACACGCCCCAAACTACCACTTCTGCCACAATCAGGTAGGGTTTGAATAAGGCTCAAGTGGCAGTAAACCCTGGAATGCACTTAATTTCGTCTGACCAACTGCCCCATGACCATAGTTCACCAAAAACTGCTCAGTGGTGGCAGCAGCGTCCGTCCAAATTGTAAGGGGATTATTGGTCACTAGAAACACTTCTGCAGGACTGAATAAAACTCGGTAACACAATGAGTTATCCGACTGGAAACCATTGAATACAATGCTTACCTATGGGGAAGTATGAATGCATGCAGCACTTTCAACGTATGCGCATCAGGACCCCAATGCAGAAGGTGGGCATGTAAAACTTTCATTGTTAATTTTTATTGTGCACTAGAATTAGGAATACAGACTAATGGAACTTTTGGAGAATTTACAAGGAAATTGCAAACTTTAGGTCAAAACTGAGGTTTTTTGGGGGTTTAAACAGGTCAGATATTTTGGCCTTAGAATTTCCTTTCAAATTCTTCACATTTCTCACATGAGTGAATATAACATAGGTGTCCAAGGTCATAATGGTATTCTTGTTTGGCACATGCATTCTCCATCCCATTGCACACAGAAGTCAGATCAATATTGTGGTAAAGAGACTCAGAGAATCCCCTGTATGTGCAAAGAGCAACAGGTTTCAAAATGTATTGTTAAGGACATACTGTTCAACATAGACCTAAGAAAATGTGCTTAATCTTTTTGAAAATGAGCACTACACAACTTTAGCATCATACCATAAAATAATTTTATAATGGATTCAGGTGTGTTTAAAATAAAACAACTTTCAGAATTTTCCATGGAAAACTGATTTATTAATTAGCTAATAACATGTGCTTACATCTTCTGCAGAAGACAGGCATACTATATATTTGTCTCATTTTCCAAATTAAATACTATACTATATAGAACATCTTAAAACAAGCATAGAAACAAAGGATTTATTTTCATGATCCCTCTGAGGCTGGGAATTTAAGTCTACTTCTATGTATTCTGGATTAGGAAATTATTGGTTCATGGATATAAAAGTTGGAAATGTACATGTTTGATAATTAGGTAAGAGGACATTTTAAGTTACACTAAGGCTTATGGATGCAATATTGACATAGTTTCACTGAAAAGAATGGCAAATTATAACATGGAAACTTGTAAATGCATACAAAAAAAACGATGGATTAATTATGCTGCATTAGCTGTGATTACATTAAGAACTGCATGAAGTTCAATGCAGTCCAGAGATGAAAAAGAAATTATTATGACTAGCTGGATGTACAGATCAGTAAAACCTTCTAGATAAAACCTTACAGACAACCAAAAGTAAACAAGAAAAACACAAAAAAATGTGCCATCCATATTTTAAACCAACAATGAGATGGTTGAGTCATTTCTTGCAATAGATCAAAGATTTGTATTCCTTCGGGTGTATTGGTCTTAAAACCATCAGCTTCTAGTCTTCTTCTAGAATGCTACATTTAATTCTTCTGCTGTCAGAGAAGCCATAATTTATTTCCTCAGGCAGGAAAAGAATTATATCCAACGAAGAAAAGATTAGGCTGAGCACAAAAGGCAAATATCAAGTGGGAAAAATTATACCTTTACATCAATGGCAAAATGACTAACAGCATTGCCATCTTGAAATGTGCAGTTAGTCAGTTCAAAGCTGCTCCAGGTTTAAGACTGGATGGACTATTTCCCCCCAATACTCTGTCCCTTTCAGCCACCTTTTTAAGGTGGTTCATAATTTTCAAGTGCACACCATTAACCAGTTCACTAATGAGCTGACCTCTACAGCAGTGAAGAAATTAACGTGTCGACCAATATCAATTTAACCCCCACTAATCTTCACAGTGGTTTTTCATTCTCTTGGCTCTTCACAACCACCAGAATCGGACGTATACAATCAGCATCACTGAGAAAACTGCTACTGCAGCAAGTTTGGCGTAGGTGGAACGCATATTCAGGTATTTTGCATCTTGGCGGTATTTCTTTGACAAGGTTGAAAGATTGCTTGCCTTTGAATCCAGAGCTGTAAAAAGAAACAGAGGTAAATTAGACACCACTTACTAAAGAATTAAAGTAATAGTCCAAGCACCATAAATGCCCACAGCCCCACCTCCCCTTGCGACTCCATGAAAACTGCCATTGTAGGTAGTAGGATCAGGGAGCAGCGCCTGTGAAGGAATTCCCACGCTCAGAGAGATATGGAGGAGGGAAGGAAAAAGACACGGATATAGTGTAGTATATGGAGATCTTAAGTGATGGTAAATGAAGGGAAAGGAATTGCACTTACAATATTCTGGAGCCTATACTCAGCAAGTACTGATATTCCACCTACCCCTCCAAAACTGCAATTGTACTCACCATAAATTCCTTTTTTCTTAATTTGATGGCAGTACAATAGGGATGTATTCTTCCCATGGGACAAGCATCTGAAATTAAAATTAACATAAAATTTCCTTCCCCAACAGGTAGAAGATACCAACCTGCCATGGAACCTCAGTACGTCCCAATAAAACCTCAGAGACTTATTACTGCAAAAATATAAAATTTATTAACAAAGGGAGGGAGTGATGTACTGCCACCATATTAAGGAAAAAATAAATTACGCTGAGTAAAATTACAGTTTTTCCTGACATATGGTGGCAGTACAAGATCGATATATCGTGATCCCAGAGCAATGGGTGGGAATTAGGCAACCACCGCTTGTAACACCGTATGCCCGAAAGCAGTGTCAGAGGTAGAGAATATGTCTAGTTTGTAATGCTTGACAAAGGTGTTGAAGGAAGGCCATGTAGCGGCTTTGCAGATATCTTCAAGTGAAGCATGTGCTTTTGCGGCCCAGGAAGCAGCCATGGCTTTAGTAGAATGAGCTTTCAAGGAGGCAGGCAGAGGCAGATTTGAGGAAGAATAAGCCAATTTAATAGTGTCCACGAGCAACTTGGAGGCAACATAACCTTTAAATTTTCCAAAGAAATTGACAAAAAAAAAATGGTCAGTCTTCCTGTATGTAGAGGAGCAGTCCAAGTAGATCTTCAGAGATCTTCCGACATCCAACTTGTGCCAATTCTCATCCAAATCGGAGACGGATGAATAACCAATGGAAGGCAGGGAAATTGGTTGATTGATAGCCTTGGAAGAGATTACTTTTGGTAGAAACGAAGGTTTCGGATACATAACCTTGTCAGGAAGAATTTTAGTAAATTCAGCAGATGATGAAAGAACCTGAATTTCACCTATCCTCTTAGCGGAAGTTTATGGCCATCAAAAATGCGGTTTTCAGAGACAGGAGCTTCAAGGACGTTTCCTCCAAAAGGTTTGCAAGGCTGGGTGCAAAGAGACTTCAAAACCAAAGATAAGACCCAAGAGGGAAAAAACGCCTTTCTTAAAGGTTGGATAAGCCTGACAGCCTTTTAAAAAAAAAAAAAAAAAAAAAACAAACACACACACACACACACACACACACACACAAGGATTTGAACTTTGACTAAGACTTAAGACTAAGAAAATTCAAGATTGTATCAGTAGAAGGTGAAGATCTTATGCAATGATGAAAGATGCACCAATGAAGAAATTTCCTCCAAATTTTCAAGTAGATAGCAGAGGTAGAGCTTCTGGTAGAATTTAGCAGCAACTTTAACCTCTATTTCTTGATGCCCTTGTAATGCAGGAATAGCCATGCCGCAGCCAAGCTGTCAATTTGAACATTTGCAACACCTCTACTGGCACCCCTTCATTCTCCAGGAGATCTGTTGACACGGATAGTTCCCAGTGCTTCATTAAAACGGAGAACCAGCTTCAATTTGGCCAGTATGGGATTATGACCAGCACCATTGCTTGTTCGGTTTTCACCTTTTGCAGAATCTTTGGGATTAGGCTCACCGGGAGAAATATGTATGCAAGGCTGAAGTCCCACCTGATCGACAGCCCATCCAGAACCAGAGGCATGTCTGCCTTGAAGAGGGAGGCAAATGTTATCACCTTTGCATTTGACCTTCATGCCATTAGATTGTTGACAGGCAGACAATCTTTTCACTAGTAGAGAAATAATTACCGGATTCAGAGACCACTCGTTCTGGTACCATTTTGATCTGCTCAAATCAACTGCTATAATGTTGTCTATCCCTCATATGTGAGTAGCGGACAGGTCGTCTAAATGACTGAGCCCAGGATATAATCCTTGTGCAAAGGGAGTGCAATTTTCTTACCCTCAAACTTCCTTGTTTGTTCAGGTAAGACACTGTAGTCTGATTGACTGAATGGTCACTGCTTTCCCCACAATGAGAGCTCTGAACTGATGAAGAGAGCATTAGACGGTTATCAGCTCCTTGTAATTTAAAGATTCCCTTTTTTCGTCTTCGGACCATGTGCCTTGCCTTAAATTACACTGCAGTTGAGCCCCCCAACCTGTATTTTTAGCGTCCGTTGTAATTATGACAATTTTTTGGTCTAAATGATAGATCTGCTATGAAACTGGTCTTTTGCCACCAAGTTAGTTGTCTTTTTACAGGATCTGATATACTTATCAAAGCTTCCAATTCTTCTTTATTTGACCACTGCGCAAGAATTTCCCACTGTAAAGGCCCTGATTTTGCTCTGGCCCGTTTTACTGCTGGGATGGTGGAGGTGAGGTGTTCTAACTCCTGCATAGCTTTTCTCACAGAACATTCTTGTTTTCGCTGAAGATCTTTTTTCAGTTTCTTGAACATTCTTGTTTCCCCAGTTAGGTGAATAGATAGAGTGTCTGACTTGATTAAAAAAAAAAAAAAAACCTAGGAACTGAATTGACCTTGTAGGAATCAGACAGAGTTTTCTAGGTTTATAAGTCAGCCATGTTCTTCCAGGATTTGGAGGGTGTAAGCCAGATCCAACTCTAGAGCGTCTCTTGAATTTGCCTTTATGAACGAGACGTCCAAGTATGGAACAACTGATTCCTTGCACCCTTAAGAAGGCTGTGATAGGCGTGAGGACCTTTGTAAAAATTCTGGGAGCCGAGGCGAGATTGAATAGAAGGGCTTTGAATCTAAAGTGGTGAACCTTGTGACCTTTTCTTATAGCAAACCCCAGGTATTTTCTTGAGCCTACGTCCATAGGAATGGGAAGGTAGGCATCTTTTAAATCCAAAGTCGCCATAAAATCCCCTATTTGAAGGATATGAGTGACTGATGCTATGGTTTCCATTCTGAAATGCTGGTATGGAATCTTGTTGTTCAGCTCTTTCAGATCCAAAATGGGACAAAATTACATATCTGGTTTTGAGAGCAGGAACAACCAGGAGTAGACACCATGATATTGCTGGGTACTTGGAACTCTTTCTACAACACCTTTCTTTAAAAGAGTGACTGTAGTGGAGAAGATGACTTGTTTTTTTAGTTTTGAACATTAGGAGGAGACAAGGAAACTGGTCTTGGAACGCCTAGGAACTGTATTCTGTATCCTTTCGCAACCAGATTCAGAATCCATGGATTTGCAGTGGTCTCCCTCCATCTCTGAGCAAATTGTTGTTTCCGTCCGTCCACTTGTATGGTGTCAGAATCTTTTTGCTCTGTAAGACTCGATGCCGAAGGTTTAATCACCTCCGTGATAACATCTAGCAAGTATTCATTGGATAACCTTAAATTTTGGAACAGGCTATCTTAAAAATCCTTGAAGCCAAAAGGTACTGAGCTTTAGCCACCGCAGCTCCTGCCAATTCTGCTTTAGGTTAAAATCCTGATGCCTGCCCTTTTATTCATAGGGTCTTTAAGACCAGAGACTTCTCCAATCGGTATGGTAGTAATTTTAGACAACTGAGCAACTTGTACGTCAACGACTGGTTTTCTCCCTGTAGTTTAACAATGCTCTTGAAATGTCTGGCAATAAATGCCCTTTTTCAGGGTTCTTCCAATCTCTGTACATAAGTTCCAGAATCTGCTGTTGAGCTGGAAGAGCTTTTCTATTTGCTTTATTTGATGTGTAGAGAAGGAAACATTAACTTCCTTAATAAATCTCAATTCTTCATGTGGAAAACAGACTCCTGTACCAGAAGAGAGTCACTGGAAGTTTCCGAATAGGAAGAGATAGAACATTCGCATGAGGACAGTTCTAATCAAGACAAAGATCTTTTCCGTTTTAGCCATTGTTTGGTTGTTGCTTTAACACGAGCTGTAACCTTTGAATGACTCAAATGTCTGGGCAAGATTGAAACCAAGACAAGAATTACTTCATGTCCTGTTGCTTGGACTTTTCCAGCGATAAGGACTGTGACAAAAGCACCTTCGTCACTGGGATTTGGAGAGGCCTGCTTGCCTGCCTCTTGCCCTGTGACTATGGCCCCTGGTATATATTGCCCTTTAAAAACACTATTTGGGCATATTGGATTTTAAAGGCACTGTTTCTGCCCCATGAGCATTTAACTGTAACAGATTCAAACATGTGGTGGCAGCGGCCATCTTAAATTGTCCAGCAGTATTTTGCCGTCGAGTGTATGGAACTGTTTTGGGCATGGGACCATGTGCACGGTGGGGCAAAAATAAGAATTCCAGAAATTCCTGAACCGATCAGGGGATGTGACTGTATTGTGGGGATATGTTGTATTTTGGGGTACTTTTGGGGATTTGTAAAAATGTATGTTTTTTCTGCTTAGAGTTAATGGAGTTAGTCCATTGTCTTAGTTAATTGTATTACAGGCAGAGGGGAGTGCTTGTGTGCTGTATGTGGGAGTGTCGGACATTGTTGTATTGTTCTGATTGGTTTGTATCCTTTGTGTGCCTGTGTTCCATCAGGTCCAGGGGGTGTGCCTGGCCTGAGGAATTGTATAAATTGTGAGTGCTGGCTTGCATTAAATAGACCTATTCTACCCCATGAAGTCTTGGCTCATGTTTGGGGGATTGGAGAACTACACTCTGTGGATTGCTATAATCACTATACTCCCCAGAGTATAATCACTAGCTCTTGTAAGAGCTGTTCCTGTTTCGCTCTCTGGACTAAGGAGAGGTTCACCCACTGGAAGCTAGAGCCAAGTCTTGGGTCCAGGGTTGGTGGAGGACGGCGAAACACCAACCAAGCTGCGGCGGTTCATGGGGTTTGCAGTGGTTATAGTGTCAAGTGCAGTGCTGATGGTCCTTGGAGAGTACTAGGAGCATCGCTCGACTGAGGCACCCAGTCGGGGTGGCAGGCGGTTCGTCACAAAGACGAACACTTATTGCAGATTTTCAGTTTTGAACCATCTGGTAGTGGTGTGGAGCATGCACTACAACTCAGCTTTTTCGATTTAGAACTGGCGTTTTTTTAGGAGCAGGAGCAGGCACCTTGTCTTTAATCCTGTCTCTCCAGTTATTATGGACAGACATATCTGCAATACATAAGAAATAACAAAATTGCTGTAAAATTAAATAAATAAGATAGACACAGACACTTAGGAAGATTAGAGACTGGAAAATCTCACCTCTAAAACCTCTGACCCGTGTGGGGGGGTGGTGGTGACACGGGAGATCCTTAATGGCTAGCACCCATGCTGTCAGTCAGATCTGCACAGTTTAAATAGGCAGCATTGATTCAAATCTGGCGCCATTCCCGGGAACTCCGACCGTGCATGCACAGTCGGAACTCCCGTGGAAAGCATTATCACCCGGGAGTGCATTTCACAGCTGTGCGCATGCGTCTTGTACAGACAGTGATTTGCTTCCGATAGAGACCGCCTAGTTGCTTTGCCGGTGACAGCACTCGGCACAAAGCAAGTTAAACATACCTGCTCCGTAACTCCTGCAGGATGCACGCAGGCCACTCAGCTCTCCACCCGGGAGGCTATCGGGTCCCTGGCAGCAACCAGTGTGCCTTCCCACAACAAATACAGATGTTGTCCGTTCCGGATGGAACAAGAAAGAGATCTGAGGTTCTATGGCAGGTTGGTGTATTATACCTGTTGAGGGAGGAACTTTTAAGTTTATATTAAATTTCATATGCTTGTCCCATGGGAAGAGTACATCCCTATTGTACTGCCACCATACGTCAGGAAAAGAAAAGGTTTCATTTTCAAAACACAGTATGTTAATGAAATTAATAGACCTCCTGGTCTATTTATTGAACCACACACAAAGAAGGCTGCTATTGGCTCTAGCAAGCAGTTACCAGATAAGAGATAAGAAATTCTGAATTAAAGGAACACTCCGAGTACTATAACCACTATAGCATACAGTAATAATTATTTTGCCAGGAATGCACTGTCAATATGGGGCCAGACTGGCACAGTTCATAAGATTTAACAATTTACATATTTGGAATTCTAGCTCCAAATGAGCCATAATTGTGTCTGCCGTTGGCTGTTCAATGTTTAGAACATGATGGGTGGGGGTACATGGAAGGCTTTAAAGCTCCCTATAGATAGATGGGGTCATATTGACATCAAGGCTTTAACATATTCATATGTGGGCTTTTTAAACTAGCTTACAGGCAAATATTACTGATAATTATCGTTCACCTGCAAAGAACAAGTGAACAATACTTAATGATGTGTTTAAAAGTGATGCGTTGTAAAATGCCTGCAGTCTAAAACTTTATATAGGTCTGTCATGTGAAAACCATTTACTTTAAACCGCATACCTAAATAATCTGGACAAACGGTGCAGATCTGATCAGGAAGATTTGGCTTTAAAACAATTGTGATTCTGGTTGGGATTGGGTAATTTTTTACCAAATATTCATACTATGCTTTATTTTTTGTTGTGCCTATTCCACTCACTCTCATATGTTGGAGATCCCTGGGAGTGGCTGGTCCTATTATTCTTACAGCAGTGTCCTTGAACGAATTAAGACCGGCTTTATTGTTATTGTGTTTTGCAGATACTAAATATACCGTATATACTCGTGTATAAGTTGATCTCATGTATAAGTCGAGTGCAGTTTTGTGACCAACAATTGTGAAATATGCTATGCCTCGTGGATAAGTCGAGGGTAAAAATTGGGGCTATGAAATTCTGTGATTTTTATATTTATATACACACACTGCATTATATATATATACACACACACACACACACACTCATACAAAAACACACTCTGCATTATATACACACACTCATACAAACACACACACACTCATACAAACACACACACACTCTGCATTATATAATGCAGAGTGTGTGTGTGCGTATATAATGCAGAGTGTGTGTTTGTATGAGTGTGTGTATAATGCAGTGTGTGTGTGTGTGTATACAATGCAGTGTGTGTGTGTGTTTGTGTGTGAACTGGGTGGGGGAGGGCATTTTTATTATTTTAATTTTTTTTATTTTAGTATTTTTTTATTTTATTATTTACTTTTTTTAATTTTAATATTTACTTTTTTTAATTTTAATATTTACTTTTTTTATTGTAATATTTTTTTAATTTAATTTTTATTTTCGTCCCCCCTCCCTGCTTGTTAGCTGGCCAGGGAGGGGGGCTCTCATTCCCTGGTGGTCCAGTGGATGGCCTGTGTAGGAGGGGGGCTGGCAGAGAGCTGTTACTTACCTTTCCTGCAGCTCCTGTCAGCTCTCTTCTCCTCCGGTCCGGTCAGCTCCACTGTAAGTCTTGCGAGAGCTGCGGGGTCAGAGCGTTGCCACGGGTTACCGTGGCAACGCTCCACGCGGCAGTCACACCGCGAGACTTACAGTGGAGGAGAAGGGAGCTGACCGGAGCACAGGAGAAGGGAGCTGCAGGAAAGGTAAGCAACAGCTCTCTGCCAGCCCCCAACAGGACTGCCGGGCTTGTAATGAGCCCGGCGGTCCTGGTCTGTATTATGACAATGTAAGCTGCCATAATACAGACACTGACTCGAGTATAAGTCGAGTGGGGGTTTTTCAGCACAAATAATGTGCTGAAAAGCTAGACTTATACTTGAGTATATATGGTACTTTAGGCACACTGCACAATACAGTTTGGTATATGTGCACCCGTGTTTTGTTGTTTGTTTACATTAAAACTTAAAACTGTTTAAGCACATACAACCAACTCACCTGATAGAGCTTCTCCTCGAAGCAACACTTCTTCAATGTTGGCAACCATAATTCTTTGCACATCCTGTAGCTCTGTGTTGATGGAGCCAAGATTTCTTCTTGCTCGACTATCAATATAGGACTTTTTTGTCTTCTGGATATAATTATCTGCAAAAGGCAAAATTGTATATTAATTGAAGGAAAAGATAAAGATTCGATATTCATGTTTATAAACTTTAACAAAGTTGGCGTTTAAAATATTTTTATTGTCTAATGCAGCAATCCCCAAACTGTGTGCTGAGGCGCCGCGACGTGCACACAGGGGTGCCGTGGAATGTTTTCCCGATGTTATGATTATAGCACTGGGAAACATTACTGCTCAACAGGGACCTGGTCAAATGCCTTGAAGACCGAGACCGGGCCCCTGTAATATCAGCCGGCTGGGAGGAAGGGACAGCCTGTCACTTCCTCCCAGCATCCTGCAGGGAGACCGTGCAGCAGGGAGAGAAGGCATCTGCAGCGTGAGGGTAGAGGAGCACGAAGAGCTCCAGACCCCTTTACTCCCCCCAGCAGGACCAGGACTCCAAGCCACCCTGATGGACAAACAAGGTAAGCTAACAGGAGGGTGGCTGGAGAAATAAAAAATAAAAAAAATCACTTGTGTGTGAGTGTTTGTACAAAATACATATTCCTGACACTATAACTACTATAAGGTTGATGTTTAGGCCCCCCTTGCCATTTTTATACCAGCACGTGGGTCCTCCACGGCTGACTGACACCAATCCCACTCCTTGGCTGAGATCAAACTTGACGATCCTATAGGAAGGCATTGGGAGGCTATCGCACATGCATGGCAAAATGCTGCACTGCGCCAATCTGCACCTCCTGATAGAATCAACGCATCTCTATGCAGAGCGTGGAGATGCTGAACGTCAGTGCCACATTAGTGTTTACCACTAGAGGCATTACTAGGCAGTAATTGTAAACCCTGCCTTTTCTCTGAAAAGGCAGTGTTCACATTAAAAAGACTTCGACTGCATTAAAGGGATACTATACTCCCTCCCCCGCACCTCCTGCATTAAAGCATCCCCTCTGCGCTTATTCTGTAATCAGATGATTTTTTTTATTTCTTTTGGTCGGCTTTGTGTATATAGCCCACCCTATTCAGAGGCAACTTATTTTGGTCTTGAAAATATTTGCGTGGTATCTATGGCAATGGGACATGCTGTGGCCGGATGTGATGCCCTCTTGAAAAGTGTCTATCTGGAAGATATTATGCATCTGCATGCATGTATGTATTCATAAATTTCTTTGGATTAAGAATTTGCAGTTTCAGAGTATTCATCTATTTAAGTCTCAGTCTTGCTCAGATTTTGCCTCGGTTTTTCTTTTGTCTATTCTCCGGCTGTACCCCCGGTACATGTGACGTCATTGAACTTCATGTGATCAGACGTCACGACGCAATGCTTTGCCACCCGTCCTAATCGGGTGAGCTCAATAGGGATTTGGCCTTCCTGTCTGGAGCACCTGAGTGAGAGAAATCCTCTGTAAACATGTGCACTGTCCACTTTATTTTACTTTCCCAAGGGAGAGTCTGGTACCAACCTTATTCCTGCTCAAGTTTTTAGATGACATGGTATATGACCCCATCTGTGGGTCTGTGTCTCATTGATACCGCCCAAGTCAACAAGTCTATATCAAAGCCCTCCTTTGTCAGAGCACACATTTACACCTGGTCCTCTAGCACTCTCATAACTGGACTGTGCCCTACTCTGAGGGACTTGACGGATGGTACTCTCAGGCACCATGCAAATTCACTCCCATTTTTAAACTCAATTACAATTGATCTGTGTAAAGTGTCTTACACAGTCCTCCTTAATGGGTTAAATAACTTAATTCAGCTATGTTGAATGATCACATTGAGGAACTTCTTGGTGTATTATTTAGCATGGTAACTTGACTTATTGTTTTATGTCTTTAGTTCTTACAAAACCCTATTGAATTGCAAATTACCTATACATACATTGTGTCTTATATACGGTGATGAGAGAAAAATGCTCCAAAATGTGAGATGAACCCAGCATCAAAACTCAAAGCTAAAAAACCACAAGTACAAATGGGCATGTCTCAAATTTGCCACTTCAACATCCACACACACAGTAAGGCACCTATTTTGTTACATTACAGCCTTAAGTTCAATGTTTTATTAATCTAAATTTTATGTGATGGATCAGAACACAATAGTCTAAGTTGGTGAAGTGAAATGAGAAAAATGTATACATAAAACTATTTTTTAGAAATAGAAAACAGAAAATTGTCTTGTGCGTATGTATTCACCCCCTTTGTTATGAAGCCCATAAAAAGCTCTGGTGCAACCAATTACCTTCAGAAGTCACATAATAATTTGTGAAATGATATCCATCTGTGTGCAATCTAAGTGTCACATGATCATTACATACACACACACACACACCTTTTTTGAAAGGCACCAGAGGCAGCAACACCTAAGCAAGAGGCACGACTAACCAAACACTGCCATGAAGACCAAGGAACTCTCCAAACAAGTAAGGGACAATGTTGTTGAGAAGTACAAGTCAGGGTTAGCTTATAAATAAATATCCAAATCTTTGATGATCCCCAGGAGCACCATCAAATCTATCATAACCAAATGGAAATAACATGGCACAACAGCAAACCTGCCAAGAGACGGCCACCCACCAAAACTCACGGACCGGGCAAGGAGGGCATTAATCAGAGAGGCAGCACAGAGACCTAAGGTAACCCTGGAGGAGCTGCAGAGTTCCACAGCAGAGACTGGAGTATCTGTACATAGGACGACAATAAGCTGTATGCTCCATAGAGTTGGGCTTTATGGCAGAGTGGCCAGAAGAAAGCCATTACTTTCAGCAAAAAACAAAAAGGCACATTTTGAGTTTGCGAAAAGGCATGTGGGAGACTCCCAAAATGTATGGAGGAAGGTGCTCTGGTCTGATAAGACTAAAATTAACTTTTCGTCCATCAAAGAAAACGCTATGTCTGGCGCAAACCCAACACATCACATCACCCAAAGAACACCATCCCCACAGTGAAACATGGTGGTGGCAGCATCATGCTGTGGGGATGATTTTTCAGCAGCCGGGACTGGAAAACTGGTCAGAGTTGAGGGAAAGATGGATGGTGCTAAATACAGGGATATTCCTGAGCAAAACCTGTACCACTTTGTGCGTGATTTGAGGCTAGGAAGGAGGTTCACCTTCCAGCAGGATAATAACCCCAAACACACTGCTAAAGCAACACTTGTGTGGTTTATTGGGAAACATGTAAATGTGTTGGAATGGCCTAGTCAAAGCCCAGACCTCAATCCAATAGAACATCGGTGGTCAGACTTACAGATTGCTGTTCACAAGCGCAAACCATCCAACTTGAAGGAGCTGGAGCAGTTTTGCAACGAGGAATGGGCAAAAATCCCAGTGGTAAGATGTGGCAAGCTCTTTGAGACTTATCCAAAGTGACTTGTAGCTGTGATTGCCGCAAAAGGTGGCTCTTCAAAGTATTGGCTTAAGGGGGTGAATAGTTATGCACATTGACCTTTTCTGTTATTTTGTCCTATTTGTTGTTTGCTTCACAATATAAAAAATAAAAAATCTTCAAAGTTGTGGGCATGTTCTCTAAATTAAATGATGCAAATCCTCAAACAATCCATGTTAATTCCAGGTTATGAGGCAACAAACCACGAAAAATGCCAAGGGGGTGGGGGGTGAATACTTTTGCAAGGCACTGTATCTGAAAAAAGTAGACATGGGGTTGTACTCCAAAGAGAAAGCTGAGCAACGTATTAAGTTTTATATTGCCTTAATACACATAAGGATTACTAAGAAGGCAGCAAAATCTCAACTCTATGGAGCATTTGTTCTGTCATGGATGCTAAAAACAGAACTATGCTTGATGTTGATAAAATGAACTATATTAGGAAGCAAATACCTCTAAAAAAAGTGTTTCAGAACTGCTGAACGGTGCTGGAGAAAGTCACCCTTTGCATTTGATTTCCTTGTGAATGAATACTTCAATACCTTTATAACCACTCTCCAGAGAACTCAAACACCTTTTTCACACTTTAAGCACTCTTCTTTGCCCTGTTGCCACTTTTCTTTCTATTAAATCTGACTGCTCCAAATGTCGTAACTCACTTCACTGAGAAGACTGCTGCAATCAGGAAAGATATCTCAGATCTCTCTTCCACCCCTACCAACACATCCCCCAGCCCAACTCCCTTCTCTATCCTAAGCCCACTCACATCTAATAATCACAATAAGACTATTCTACGCTGCGTTGGTTTTCCTCCCCACCCCTCTTCCCTCAATCCTATCCCCTTCAATTTTATATGCACGCCAATACACCCATAAGACAGATTCTTTATAAAATAAAATACACACACACACACACACAACTCCAACCTAAACCCCCATTACCATCTACCTATCATCACGTATACAGTATGTCTCATGAAGGGACCAACGCTCTGCCGAAGACCTGCGTCTATCCTGTTTGTACACGCACATCTGACCCGCACTTTTCCACCGTTCCTATGGAATTCCCTTCCCAGCGTTATTAAACTCTCACCCAGTATCCATTTCTTCAAAAACATATCACTGAAAACTCACTTCTTTAAAAATGCATATCAATTAAACAGATTTAAAGTAACCCACACCTCACAAACCCTTCTCGGTTCCTCTCCTGCAACTGTGCCAACTAATAAAACAAAAAACACAAGACTAAGCTCTCATTCTAAATTGATCTTCTAACAACCTACTTTTCCTATACCTTACCCTAACCTTGTCATTTTAACACTTCACCCTTAGAATATAAGCTTGTTTGGGCATCAGCAACACCTCTTCCTGTATGTCCAACTTATCTTGTTCTGCTTGTTTGCTAGCCTGCCTTTTGTTCAATGCTGCAGAAATTGTGATTTATAAATAAACAGAGTACTCAATATTCTTATTATAATAAAAAAAAAAATTAAAAAAAAAAAAAAAAAAAAAAAAAAAAATCACAATCTACAAGTTAGTTAAACAGCCATCTATTTTCAGGGGACAGTTTTCAGTGCCTTGTTAAAGGTTCATTCTTTATTCAAATATCTGTCCACTTTCCACCAACCTCCATATTGTTCAATAAATACCTGTCCCTGACCCAGAACAAGATAGTTCAAATTTGGAACTCAAAAAACTTCTTGGGGCATCAGAGAAACATCCCCAAAATAAGTAATTGAAACTTGCTTGTGTTGAGCAAGGCCAGTGTATTGACATCGGGTGCTAAATCATCTGCCATTTCTACCTACAGCATTGTCTGCACGTAGATTTTGAAAAGCAACGACTGGTTAGAAAATAGTAAGCATTGGCTGGGACAACTGACAGTCTGATACAAGGTGCAGAAAGTGGGAGTGGGATACATATAGACATTTTAAGAAAATAGATTAGAAAAAAAGATTATATTAAAAAGTATAGATTTTTTTCTACAACAATGGATGTCCTTTAACAAAACATCAGTTGGCAATATGTAGAATGTATTTTATGTGTATATTTTGAAATTTAACATTTTGCTGGTATGACTCACCAAACTCTATAAAAGAATAGGGTCGTGATACCGTGGGCACCTTTTTTCCATGTTGTTCATCAAATTCAGAATATAAATCTTCAAGATAAGCAAATGCCAATTTCTTGGGAAATGCAGCTTCACAAAGAACCAGGTAGCACACACCCTTCTCAATTAGGTAGCTAAGGTTAAGAAAATACATAATTAGTATCTAGTCCAATATACTTAAACTTCAAGGGACATATGGAACAGTCACGAAATATACTGGATGAGGCTCTAGAATGTTGCACATGAACACCTAACATGCTATACGCAAAAAAGCTATTGCATTTCAAAATACAGATGAAATATATAATGAGGGATGCATTAATTTGCTTACCACAATACATCTTTACAATAAAGGGGCACTCTAGCCACCAAAACCACTGCAGCTGTTTTGATGATGTGGAACATTAAATTTCTGTATCAATTACCTACAGCCAGTCTTGTATGGCTGCAAGCGCTGGTGGATAGTAAGGCTAGCAGACAGAGCAAACTGTTGCTGCTTAAGGTTGGTGCTACAGTGGTTATGATGCTTACAGTGCTTTTTTGCAAAAGCTAAAAAACTGTTCTATTAATATGATTAGCATTTGACAAGCAATAGTATCAACATTTTTCTCTGTAACAGTATAATAGGACATGCTACCATTCTTTAGCGGAGTTATCTGCATGCGCTCTAAGCCTATCTTTGCCACAATGCACAAAATTAATGTTGATAATAAGGGTTTTTACAATGCAGAGGAGTAGGAGTTGGTCACCAAATACTGTTAAGAGGTTTGCATTTTGTCAATTCACTCCCAAAAGTGACAGAAAAGTGGGGGGAAAGAGAGACTCTAGGCAGTTTAAAACTACTACTGTGATAGAAGCTACAGGATGTTTAAAGGACCACTATAGTGCCAGGAAAACACTCGTTTTCCTGACACTATAGTGCCCTGAGGGTGCCCCCACCCTCAGGGACCCCCTCCCGCCAGGCTGGAGGAAGGGGTTTAACTTACCTCTTTCTCCAGCGCCGGGCGGGGAACTCTCCTCCTCCTCCTCTCACATTCAGCCAGTCTCATAGGAAAGCATTTACAACACTGGCGTCTTCTAACTGTGAAAATCACAGTGAGAAGCACGCAAGCGCCTCTAGCGGCTGTCAAGAGACAGCCACCAGAGGCTGGATTAACCCTAACATAAACATAGTTTCTCTGAAACTGCTATGTTTATAGAAAAAAAGGGTTAAACATCAGTGCAAATTGTTAAAAACAATAGTTCACAATCAATGACACACATAAAATAGTTTTAAACTTACTGAAACGCCATGGCTCCTGCCTCTAGAGTGCATCGGGTTGGTGACTGTTCATTCAGTTTCCGAAACAGCTGTTTAGCCTGATTCTGGTACTGCTGCAAATCCCGCCCAGACTGCCAAGAAGAAGAAAAATTATATTTTTCCTGAAAAGATATTTTCTCTCTTAAAGAGACACTTTTTTGGTTTTCCTTTCCTTATAATAATTTTTTTGTCCTTATGTCGAATCTCAATACCGGAGTGCAGCCATTTTGTTTTCATGCACAGAGAGTTGCATCGAAGCAGATTGGATATTGTTCATTTTTGAGTCGCTTTAAAGGACCACTCTAGGCACCCAGACCACTTCAGCTTAATGAAGTGGTCTGGGTGCCAGGTCCCTCTAGGATTAACCCATTTTTTTAATAAACATAGCAGTTTCAGAGAAACTGCTATGTTTATATATGGGTTAATCCAGCCTCCAAATCCTCTAGCGGCTGTCTCATTGACAGCCGCTAGAGGCGCTTGCATGATTCTCACTGTGAAAATCGCAGTGAGAACACGCAAGCGTCCATAGGAAAGCATTGTAAATGCTTTCCTATGAGACCGGCTGAATGCGCGCGCAGCTCTTGCCGCGCGTGCGCATTCAGCCGAAGGGGAGGATCGGAGGCGGGGAGGAGGAGGAGAGCTCCCCGCCCGGCGCTGGAAAAAAGGTAACTTTAACCCCTTTCCTCTCCCCAGAGCCGGGTGAGAGGGGGTCCCTGAGGGTGGGGGCACCCTCAGGGCACGAGTATGTTTTCCTGGCACTATAGTGGTCCTTTAAAGCTGAACTACACCATCCGGGGACATTGCAGAAAATCGCAAAGACCACCATTAGTGACATCGCTGCTGGCCGACCCAGTGGCTGAAGGAAGGTGTGGGGGAAAGCAGGTAAAGGGGAGATATGCATACCTAAACATTCCTCGTGGTCACGGCCATCTTCCTCCAACCGGTCCTCTTCAGCTCCTGGCGCATGCACGAGAGTTCAGCATTGAGGTATAAGGAGGATCCTGCGAGACACTGGGATCCTCCATAGACAAAGGCAATTCCCTGCAGCCGTCACTGGTGACGACTATCGGAATGGACATGGTAGCTCCGCCCAGTGTCTAAGAAACTCATGCGGAAAAAATATACATGGTCCCTTCTTTGTATATCTCTTGACTGGCCCGGAATTTCAGTAAAATACCAACGCAGTCAAAATAAGTATTTGTTAACGATTCCATCTTTATGCAGCGAATGGCATCTTATAATCATGTGTCAGAAGGCAATAAACACAGATCAAATCTTTACCGCTCCAATAGAGAAAATAAGGCAGTTGAAGTATAACCATGGAACTAATGCAGGAATGACTGACTGTATCGTAGACTCTTAGCATAAATATGAAAATAATTTTATCAGGTGATGGTGAGAGTCCACAATCCAAGCAGCGTAGAACTTTTAATCACCAGAGTCAGATATGTTCAAGTGTCAGTGACTCACATGGTGCTTAAAAAACTCTTTCCTGCCAAACAGTGTTTATGGATTCAATACATAATAATTTTTAAAAATGGGTGTAAGGAAGACCAAGAGACTGCCTTGCAAATCGGGTTCATAGAAGTCACTTGGCAAAAGGCCATTACCAAGTGTAATATAATTCTCTCCAAAAGAAGTATATTAAAGGGATACTGTAGAGCCAGGAATAGAAAGTCGTATTACTGACACTATAGCTCCATCTGCCTCCCTCCCTCTACAGTGGTAATTAAAGGGATAAAAATTGATTTACTTACCTGATCCCAGTGTCAACGTCAAATACAATAGGAACACAGCACACAGACCACTTCAATAAATTGAAGTGGTCTGGGTGCCTATAGTGTACCTTTAAACATGGCAAAGGTGGCTAAAAGCAGAATCCTAGGGGTTTTGATCATAAAAACCCTAACCTGAAGTGTTCCAACACCAAAGGCCCCAGAACTAGCCTAACCCTCTGTCCAACTAAAATCAGCAGAGAGAACTAGTGTACACTGCACTATGTCACTGTAACAGGATTTCTAATTTTGCATCACAGTATGACAAGTTAAGATATGAATTACTGGTTTCTTCCTACCTGATTCTACACAGAGATTAGCATAGCAGAACAAGCACAGTCAATCCACAATTTATCAAATGATGCAAGTCTCTATGTTGCGCATTAGCCTCCCTATTCTTCCCACTGGGGACGCATTGGATTGGCTGGGATCGCCAGTGTTGATGATCTCAGCAAGGTGGCAGCCCTATGTTGGGGTAAACTAAACAGTTAATAGGGTACTATAGCATTAGAAATTCACTTTTTTTTTTTTTTTTTATTATTATTCCTAACACTAAACTGTTTCTTTAACCCCTTAGGACACATGACATGTCTGACATGTCATGATTCCATTTTATTCCAGAAGCTTGGTCCTTAAGGGAAACTCCAGTGCCAGGAAAACAATCCGCTTTCCTGGCACTGCAGGTTCCCTCTCCCTCCCACCCCCCAATCCCCGGTTGCTGAAGAGGTGAAAACCCCTTCAGTAACTTACCTGGGGCAGCGACGATGTCCCATGTCGCTGCTTCTCCCTCCATGCCGCTTCTCCAGACTGCATCGGCCGGTGGGCGAGACTGATCCCGCCCACCAGCCGGGGAGACCTAATGCGCATTAGCGCTCCCCATAGGAAAGCATTTAAAATGAATTTCAATGCTTTCCTAGGGGGAAATGAGCAACGCTGGAGGTCCTCACACAGCGTGAGGATGTCCAGCAATGCTCTAGCACAGGTTTCCTGTGCTACAAACCAGGAACTGCCCTCTAGTGGCTGTCTAGTAGACAACCACTAGAGGCAGAGTTAACCCTGCAAGGTAATTATTGCAGTTTATAAAAAAACTGCAAAAATTACACGTGCAGGGTTAAGAGTAGTGGGAGTTGGCACCCAGACCACTCCAATGGGTAGAAGTGGTCTGGGTGCCTGGAGTGTCCCTTTAATCTCAGCTTACAATGAAAATTATGGCAATAGTTTACAACATTGGCATATTGTACATAAAGTTTCCTCAATACATTAAACCAGGTATAAAAATTGTTTGCTCTTATTAACTTCCCACCATGTTATTGTACATTATCTAAAATGTTGTGTCCTGTGGGATGTATCATTATAAATTATATTGAGAGTCAATATAGTTTGCAGAGCTGTACAGAAAAGGTGTATCAAGTAAAATGTAGCAAACTCGTTTTTAGGAATATATATATACACACACACACACACACCTACAGATGTGTACACATTTTATTCTGAAACATGTTTACCAATACAACATCGCACACATGCTCATTGCTCAAGTAACGTGTAAGAAGATAGAGGTTTAGAATGTAGCTGGATATATTATATTTATATATAACTTTGCAGATGTAGTTTGATCAAACATGATAAATACACACAGATGACTATAATGTGCAGGTGTATGTATGTATGAACACTGTCACGGTGTCTCACCTGCTCATCTTCCTGCATTGATGCTGCCAGAGGGAGTCCGTCCGCCACACGGGCGATCATCGTTAGCAGAACCATGGCAGCGAGGAAGGCAGTGAGCTCAGCCCGGTGTGCCGCTGAAGATGAGCTGGCCGGAAGTATTTCTCTCCACCCTCTGCTCCGCTGGCAGTGACAGAGTCCGAGCGTTAATTGCACCCCGGCGGCGACTGGCTCTGAGGTTCCGGGTTACCAAGGTTCCGGCCTGTGGAATACAGGAGAACGTAGGATGTTGGTGTTCGATACCATTAGAACGTGCCCCGTCCCAATATAGCTGTGTGATACTTTACAGATGTCTGTCATTCTTATACATATGAAGTGCTGTCTTGCAGTATGTGTGACCAATATGCTGTATGGAGGTTGCATTCAATATGAACTAATTTCTATCATGTGACGAGCCACTTCTACAATCTTCATTCACAAAGACAACAGTCTTCATTTGCTGCCCGTGTGTACGTTAAACATCTAAAGCACACTACCTTGCTAAGTGCTTTTTATGAACATTATGTACTCGTTTTTTTTTTTTCCCCTTTTTATTCAATAAAAAGTGCACATTTCTAAAAGGAATTTTTTTAATGAACTGTATAAATTAGCAATGGTACATCTTCCCTTTAGCACAGACAGGGCTGCCATCAGAAATTTTGGGGCCCCTGACAAAGCACAAGGTCTGGGGCTCCATCCCTCCCCCGCCCCTCCTCTCTGAATGCAGAGTGTGTTAATGTGTAGTGAATGCAGATAGTGTGTTAGTGTGTAGCGGATGCAGAGTGTGTGTTAGTGTCACTTCCTTAGGCTCAACTTTTCCAAAACAGAACTTCTGGTCTTTCCTCCCTCAAGTGTTGCTACTCCTGTTTCTGTCTCCCTCCACGTTAATGGCGCTACCATCAGCTCCACCACACAGACTCACTGCCTTGGTGTTCTCTTTGACTCCAACCTCTTCTTCACCCCTAATGTCCAGTCTATCAAAACATTGCGTACATCCGCCCCTACTTAACGCCAGATGCGGCTAAGGTGCTGGACCATGCCACTGTTCTCTCTCGCCTTGACTACTGATATCCGCTTCTCAGTGGTTTTACGTGCTCCCAACTTGCCCCATTGCAGTCTATAATGAATGCAACAGCGAGGCTCTCCTTCCAGTCTGCCCGCACCTCCCACGCCTAATCTCTCTGTCAGTCCCTGCATTGGCTTCACGTAAGATATAGGGCTCAATATAAAATTCTGGTTCTTGCTTTCAAATCTCTACATAATGCTACACCCACCTATCTATCCTCCCTAATACACAAGTATGTCCCGAATAGGCCCCTATGCTCTGCCGAAGACTTACGTCTATCCTCTGGTCGCACTCCCACCTCTGATGCTCATATCCAAGACTTCTGTAGGGCTGCACCGTTCCTGTGGAACTCCTTTTCCATTAGACGCTTACCAAGTCTCCACTCCTTCATGAAAATCATTAAAAACTCACTTTTTCACAAAAGCATATCAATTAAACTGTTAATGGCTGGAAAAAAACCACACTAAGTCTTCATTGAATACTGTTCTTCCAACTTACTTCCATAATACTTCTCTTACCTTTTGTGTCACTTTACCTCACATCCTCCAGCATGTAAGCTCATTGAGCAGGGCCCTCAATCCCTCTGTTTCTGTGCATCAAACTTGTCTGGTTACAATTACATGTTTTTTAGTCCACCCATTGTAAAGCGCTACAGAATTTTGTTGGCGCTATATAATAATAATAATAATAATAAGTGTAACAGTGCAACTATACACCTATCAGACTTAGCCAGCAGCAGGCCCACAGGGAAGACACTCTCCTGCACATAAAAGGTATGTTAACTGGAGGTTGGCTAGAAATATAAAATGTAATATATGCATGCATATGTGTCCGTGTGTATCTATGTGTGCGTATATGTGTGTATCTGTTTGTCGGTGTGTGTATTCATGTGTGTATTTGTGTTATTGTTTATCAATGTGCATATCTGAATGTGTGTGCATGTGTCAGTATCAGCATGTGTCTGTCAATGTGCATGTGTGTCTGTGAAAGTATGTATGTATGTATGTGTATATGTGCACACATCACAGCAATCAAACGCCAACACTACATTCAAACAAACCTTTGCAACCAAATGCAAACATTACTTACAAACACACCCATGTTCTACAATGCCAAATTCATATATTTAACCATTATCAGTACACACAAAAATACACCTACATTTAAAAGCCAACACTAAATACACATACACCCCTACAAGCACACACACATACTCCATGTTGTGGAAATAAGGTCTGCACATATTTCCTAGTTAGTGAAAAATGTCTATTTACTCATTCCACGATATATCATAAAGCTAAGCACACATGTTTTAATCAAAATGGCTGCTAGAAGCTTCTAACCCCTCCTCCCCCCCCCCTTCCCTTCTTAACACCAACTAACTACCTCGTGCAACAAGATGGCGCCGGGAAACCGTGGGAGACCCTCATGGCCCCGGTGACATCACCTACAGTAGGCAGAGCATTAGAGCAACCACTTAACACCTAACCAATTATTGATGTATTATTCCATGTTATCTCTGACAATGCTTATGATGTAATTTTGCTTTAAAAGGGACCTGCCGTCCCCTCTGAATAAACATTCCTCAAGTTATTCAACAACCTGGAACCCGTGTCTGGTGTGAATTACTTCAGGGAGCGTGCACGCATTGTTTCATTGATTTGGCCAGAGGCAGATACACAAAGAAATAATCAATATATTGATTGATTTTTCCATTTCAATTGGCGCCCAACGTGGGGCCACCGGAGGGCCGGTTCGGAGGGCCGGGACCAACGGACCGGAGCGGACCTCCGGAAAGTGGGACAAGCGGAGCCCGATCACCTCCATAATACAGCCGTTGCCTGTGTTATTCTCCTGTTTTGTGCCGGTCTGTCTCCGAGTCCACTTCCGGCTTCCAGAAGGCTACTAGAGACAGGTAATTAACTCATCCGGTGTGCCCTTTTAAAGTGAACCTGTCGATTGTCTATCTGCCTCCTGTATTCATTTATATGTGTGTGTGTGTGTCACTCCTTCTTTTAAAATATGTCTGCTTGACTGCCTAGCGGGCAGGGAATGCATTTTATATGTCTGCTTGACTGCCTAGCGGGCAGGGAACGCATTTTATATGTCTGCTTGACTGCCTAGCGGGCAGGGAACGCATTTTATATGTCTGCTTGACTGCCTAGCGGGCAGGGAACGCATTTTGTATGTTTGCTTGACTGCCTAGCGGGCAGGGAACGCATTACAGCCGGTGGGGCTGGGATTTTATGTTAGCTTGACTGCCTAGCGGGCAGGGAACGCGTTACAGCCGGTGGGGCTGGGATTTTGTTTGATTACTGCAGTGTTTTCATTGGTACTTGTGTTATACCGGGACCAGCCTGGTTTTTGTTTAATTGCTGTTACAGTGTGGGTACCCTCGGTGTGTGTGTGTGTATTGTGTGGTTAGTCCTGGATTCCAGAGTTTACGCTCATTTATATGTTTGTGATTTTTGCAAATGTCTTCTCATTAGCGCAGCCACGTTCATCTTCTCCTTTGTTCTTTATCTCTCCTGTGCCTGTTGCCCAGAGCTGTGTTAGTCACCCACGCTCGTTCGCTCCCGTCCGTGACCACCACCCCGGGTGGGCGGATCTCCGTGACTGGTCTACGTTTGGGGAAGACGCACGGGGCTCAAGTTCACGTGGCAGTCGAGCACTGTAGACATTCTTTTTTTTTCCTTCTCCTTCGTACCTCCTCTATTTATCTGTCTTTAGCACGTGGCACGCTTCGATTACTCAAGATGGGGCAGGAACACGCTAGACCTGCTAAGGGCTTGCTGGCTTGTGACATTGTGAAAGAAAGGGCAGGGGAAGATGCAATGTTGAAACTTAAAAAGATTGCTAAGGTGTGTGGCTTCCAGATGTTGCCCAGTGGGAGATTGCAGCCTGAGTTTTGGAGGAAGTTACTCGTAGACAAGGAAGGGTTGTTGTTGGATAATGGACTCACAAAGGTTGCAGAGGCTTGGTATCGGGTAGCTAGAGGTCTGAAACGGGAAGGATGGGTCGAGGAAGAGTTGGAGTTTGAGGGGCAAATCGTGTATGTTTACCATAGGAGTGTTAACAATGATGATGTTGTTTCCATTGTCCTGCGACCACCGCCCTATGATGGCGCCCAGAGCGCGACAGTAAATTCCCGCCCTGCTTCCCCCATCACAGCACAGACCCCACCCCCCGGGGGTGTGCCTTCAGCCCCCACCCCCCTGTGCCCCGTTCTCGGTGCGGATGGTGCTTACTATTACCCAGTGCCACTTCACTCGTTCCCACCCACTCCCATGCACCAACACTCCTACGACCCAGCCCCCTCCATTAGCCATTCTCCCGTCATGTCTGTTGAAGTTTCCTCGTCAAGATCCCGTCCTAACTACTCCCGCCTCACCTACCGAAGTTCCCTCCTCTTCCTCCTCTCATTCCCCCTCCACCTCGAGTACCCCATCCCTAGCAACACCCGCTCCCTCACCCTCCTCGTCTGTTACACACCCAACCCCCCCGACCCTTGCCCATTCCACCGACCCCGTTCCTCCGGACCCCTGTCCCCCCACGGACCCTCCTTCTCCCATACCCCCAGACCCAGACCTTTCCTCTTTCCTCGCTAGCCTTTCGAAAGTGACCTGTCCCGTGACCCCTACCCCTTCACCCTCTCTGCCCTTCTCTCCTTCTCATTCCCTTTCCCCCTCCTCCTCCAAGGATCCCTCATCCCTACTCTCCACTCTCATGAATCTTGTCCAGCCCGTTAATCCCGGTCCCCTTGCCTCTGCTCCCTTATGCACAGACACCCCTCCCATCCTCCAGGACCCTCCCGCTATCCACACAGTGTTACCTCCTCCCGAAGTCCCGGCCCCCTCTACCTCGTTGCCTCCTCCTCCCTCGGCCGATTTGCCGTCCCTAATCTCTGCCCTCACCGCCCTGACCCAACCCCCTGTTGCCACCCCTCCAACCCTTTCTCCAGCATTACCTCCTCCCGAAGTCCCGGCCCCCTCTACCTCGTTGCCTCCTCCTCCCTCGGCCGATTTGCCGTCCCTAATCTCTGCCCTCACCGCCCTGATCCAACCCCCTGTTGCCACCCCTCCAACCCTTTCTCCAGCGTTACATCCTCCCGAAGTCCCAGTCCCCT